TCATGGAAGAAATAAACTTTTTAAAAAACTGTAGAAAAATAAAGATAGTCTATAATGATAAAGAGATCAATTCATCAAGCAGATACAACTACTGTAGATATATAAACCCATTACTGGAGTGCATAAATATATAAAGCAAATATGAAAGGACCTGAAGGGAGAGAGATTACAATACAATGACAAGAGAAGACTTCACTCTTGTGGCCTTGCTTTGAAGATGACGAAGAGAAGGAACAACGGCCATGCCGAAAAGGGCCGAAGCCACGTGCAGCCTATTCGCTGCATGAACTGCGCCCAGTGCATGCCCAAGGACAAGGCTATTAAGTTCATCAACCCAAACATAGCAGAGGTCGCAGCCCTCAGGGAACCTCTGAAGCAAGTGTCTTCGATGCCTGTGTGCTCCCCAAGCTGTATGTGAAGCTGCATTACTGTGTGAGTTGAACCATTCATAGCAAGGTAGTCAGGAACTGATCTCATGAAGCTTTGAAGGACCAAAGGCCCTCACCCCAATTTAGACCTTAAGGTGCTGTTCCTCGCCATCTACCAAACGTCCATATAAGGAGCTGGATCTTTAAGGACTGAAGAACAGTCCTCTGGGGAAAAAATAAAATGCAAATTATACGTTTAAAAAAATAAATAGTAGAAGACTTCAATACCCAACTTTCAACAATGGACAGATCATCCAGACAAAAAATTAAAAGGAGACACTACACTTTAGACTACGTGAACTTTATAAACACATACAGAAAATTCCAACCAATGACAACAAAATATACTTTCTTCTTAAATGTACATAGAATAGTCTCCAGGATAGATTATGTTAGGCCATGGGGGTGGGGGGGACATTTGCAAATTTAAGAAGTGGAAATCATATCAAGTACTTTTTCGGACCACAATGGTATTAAACCAGAAATCAATAAAAGAATTGCAGAAAATTCACAAATACATAGCAATTATACAAAATGCTCCCAAACAACCAGTGGGTCAGTAATAAAAGAGAAATTAAAAAACTATCTTGAGACAAATGAAAATGGAAATACAATATACCACATACCATAATTTATGGGAGGCAATGAAAACAGTTGTAAGAGGAAGTTTATAACAATAAATGCCTACATCAGAAAAGAAGAAAGATTTCAAATAAACAACTCAATCTTACCTCAAAGAAACAGAAAAAGTAACAAACTAAGCCCAATGTCAGCAGAAGAAAATAAATATTAAAAATCAGAGCAGAAACAAATGAAATAGAGACTATAAAAACAATACAAAAGACCAACAAAACAAAGAGTTGTTCTTTGAAAAGATAAACAAAATCAATAAACCTTTAGCTATACTGGGAAAAAGAGAGAGAAAACTCAAATAAAATTAGAAAGAGGAAACATTAAAACTAATACTACTGAAGTTTGGGACCAGCAGTTAGCATAATGGCTATGTCGCTGGACTCCCACGTAGTCGACCGCGGTTTGCGTCCCGGACCTGGTGGCTTAAAACTCACACCAGGCGCGTGTGCGTGCGTGCCCAAGATCCCGAGAGGAGAATGGAGGAGAGGGGATTGCGGCGTGACCATTCCCCCTGGGGGGGGGTGATTTCTCGCTTTCTGTCTCTATGTCTCTCTCTGTCTGTCTGGCAAGCACACACACCCTATAGCGAAAACCTCCCCCCCCCAAAAAAAGAAAATTTCTTAAAAATAGAAAAAAATTTCACAAAAGCATTTATACTCTGATGTATTTTGAGAAATACATCCTGAGGGAAAAAAACCCACCAGAGGAAAAAGCAATGTATGTAGAGACTCTCTAACTGTAATAACAAAGGCCTTCCCTTGCTTCCAGCTGCCTGGGCCTCCCCAGCACACTTTCACTGACTTCACAGGTCACATGTCTGCTTACTGTTGGTCTCTCCCATTAGCAGGGGAAGTCCCTGGAGGGCAGGGATGATGTCTTCCTTACTCTCCAATGAGAGTTCATGTCTAGCACAGTGCCTGGTATATAGCTAGTGCTCAAGGGTTGTTGACCGGCTGACTGCACAAACATGCAAAATGAAAAAGGGGCCCAGCTGCTGTGGTGCGGCGGTGATGCAGATGCACTGCAAGGCTGGAAGCCACATGATAAAAAACTGAGCCAGTAGCAAACACAAAGGGAAAGATACTGCTCAAAGGAGAGAGCACAATAAGCAATAGTGAGTATAAAGGAAGTGGAAGGGGCAAGTCCAGACCTATCAGCCATGATGTATAAAACCAGACCACCCTTGATAGGTAAAAGAACAAAGATTTTCATTCTGGAATTTCAAAAGTATATTAATAAGTATATACATACACACACACACACACACACACACACACACGCATATACTATTTTATAAGAAACACCTAAAATAGCACAAGAGTAGAGTAAAAGTAAGAGACTGAGAAAGGATCCCTGATGACTACTAATTCACAAGCCTATGGCATGGTGTTCAGGCAGCCGAATCCCACATGGCTGACTGCAATGCAAGTCCCAACTCAGTGGCTTGGAGAACATATGTGTGTGTGAGTGCCCAAAATCCCAAGAGGGGACTGGAGGAGAGTGCAGTGCGGCCCTCCCATCTCACTTTCTCTCTGTCTCTCTGGTGAGTGCATGCACCCTATGGCAGACAGAAAGAAGAAAGAAAGATAGATTGCAGCAGCACTCATAGGGATAAAGGGCTGTTAAATAACGACAAAGGCAGCAGCTGACCAGGACATATGACAAATCTGTACTTCTAGATCTGTTCACCAGGAGACACGTCGATAACACAGAATTCATGGTATTAGCACCTGTGTGTTCAGTCTGCTGTTGTTTCTTGTTCTCCTGGGAATTCTGGGTGAATGAGAAAAAGAGACTGAGACAAGGAACTGGGAAGTTGTGCATCCCTCACGAGAGCAAGCCGTAACAACCCTGGCTGCCCGGAGCTCCCTGACACCCTCGCTCTCCACAGACACCATCGCTCGCTAAGCCGCTCTGGCAGGGCGTACCTGCTACTTATTTCTGCGTTTCAGCACCTACCGCAATGTCTGGCAGAGAAGGACACTCAATAAACGTTCGCCGAATGACATTTTACGCGTCCACTGAAGTTCTAATTTAAAAGACTATGAAGCCAGTATGAAAGATGTCTAGGGAACCAGCAGTTAGCGTAATGGCTATGTCGCTGGACTCCCACGTAGTCGACCGCGGTTCGCGTCCCGGACCCGGTGGCTTAAAACTCACACTGGGCACGTGTGTGTGCATGTGCGTGCGTGCCCAAGATCCCGAGAGGAGAAGGGAGGAGGAGGGATCGTGGCGTGGCCATCCCCCCATGGGAGGTGATTTTCCGCTTTCTGTCTCTCTGTCTCTCTCTGTCTGTCTGGCGAGCGCACGCGCCCTATAGCAAAAACCTCTCAAAAAAAAAAGTATAAATTAAAGGGAGAAATAAACAATATTCTGCATTTCTTATACTGACCGTGTCTCACTGTTACCAAGTACCAGGAGAGGGGTTGCTGCCATTACAGAAATATTCTAACCAAAGAAATACTAAGCGTATCACCACTTTACAATCTCTGATGTATTTACGGATCTAGTGTGAGCAGCTGTGGTTGCTAATATCATGAAAAGAGAGAAAACCAGTCAACATGTTTGCCATCCAGTTATAAAGTAGTCTTGCCCAAAACACAAAAACAAAATCCAAATTGAACATGGTCTACCTAACTATCCATTCGGCTCAGGAATTTTCGGGACGGAGATAGGAGACCTCATTAAATGTTACCGTGGGTTGTACCCTGTCATCTAGATTGTAAGAAACTCCACGTAACTAACAATCCAGGTTACTTCTTCCATTAACAAAGGGGAAAGACACCAACAGGTTCAAAAAGAACGGCGGCAAACCAACCCATTGCAACCTATGGGCTCCTTGGACCCTGGTTCAAATCGAGGTAAGAGACCACACGGGCGAGCTGGGAAATGTGAACCCTGGCTGGGTATGCAGTAATACTACTGATAAGACTATTACATGTGAAAACCGCATTCTCGCCTTGTTTGTTAGAATACCTCTTATCTTTGAGAGAGACATGCAGAAATACGATACCTAGCATTTGTGTCAAAGCTACCGGGGTGGAGGACACGGAGCTGGGATGCAAAGGAAGTGCTCCGTGGGATCTGGTAACTGCCGCACTGCAGAGGGTTCGTCAGTGAACTCGTCCTCTTTACCTTTGCACATGTTAGAAATGTTCTGTAGTGAAACGTCTAAAACATTAATACAAAATAAATGAAGCTGTTCCTTATTCTCATGGTTGACGTTTTGGGGGGAAAGTGTCAAGGAAACAATGGGACGCTTACCTTTTCATTAACTGGATAAAAATTCTTCTCGGTAATCGATAGACAAAGGTGTCAAGGACAATCTTTAGGTAATTCAGAGATACATAGCCACCTTTCGAGGGGTCCCCTGCACTGAGGGCTTTTTCGATCTTTTCATAGGACTTGGAAAGCTGCAATGAATTAAAATTAGAGTGTGGCATTCATAAAAATCAACTTCATAGCGCTATTCAACCATTTTATTTTTACCAAAACCTCTTCACAGTTCCCTCTCCAAAAACTGATCAAAAAGGTTACTATGGCATGTACTGAACTTCAAATGTTTAATTGATGAGCTCACTACGTGAACCGCGGTCGACTACGTGGGAGTCCAGCGACATAGTCATTACGCTAACTGCTGGTTCCCAATACCTCTTATCTTTGAGAGAGACATGCAGAAATACGATACCTAGCATTTGTGTCAAAGCTACCGGGGTGGAGGACACGGAGCTGGGATGCAAAGGAAGTGCTCCGTGGGATCTGGTAACTGCCGCACTGCAGAGGGTTCGTCAGTGAACTCGTCCTCTTTACCTTTGCACATGTTAGAAATGTTCTGTAGTGAAACGTCTAAAACATTAATACAAAATAAATGAAGCTGTTCCTTATTCTCATGGTTGACGTTTTGGGGGGAAAGTGTCAAGGAAACAATGGGACGCTTACCTTTTCATTAACTGGATAAAAATTCTTCTCGGTAATCGATAGACAAAGGTGTCAAGGACAATCTTTAGGTAATTCAGAGATACATAGCCACCTTTCGAGGGGTCCCCTGCACTGAGGGCTTTTTCGATCTTTTCATAGGACTTGGAAAGCTGCAATGAATTAAAATTAGAGTGTGGCATTCATAAAAATCAACTTCATAGCGCTATTCAACCATTTTATTTTTACCAAAACCTCTTCACAGTTCCCTCTCCAAAAACTGATCAAAAAGGTTACTATGGCACGTACTGAACTTCAAATGTTTAATTGATGAGCTCACTACACAACAGTATTCCCAGTCACTGCCACTCAATTGACAAGGCAGACAAGTTTCTCAGGGGAAAGTAGCACATATAATAGCTCTACCTCGAATTTCAGAGCTAAAAATACTTGGTGGACCTGCCAGTTTGATGCATCTTTCTTAATATACTTTCAAGCCATTCCCTACTGTGAGCCCATGCTAGGCTTCTCCTGATTAAGTCAGGCCAATCAAACAAAAAAGCTGGTAACATTTTATTAAAAATAAAAGTAGCTTTTACAGTAGAAAAATTATTAAAATAAGGGTTGCATAAACATAGTGTACACTGGACATTTCTTTTATCATCCTTTCTTTAAAAAGAAAATATGGGGGATTACAAAGAACCCAGATGAATGAGCTTTACTTAAGGGACGACTTCTAAAATGCAGTAAAGTAGGTTAACCACTGATTTTTCTATGACTCATAAAAATGCGATGAAGATTGGTTGTATTTTCAAAGGTTTCCCTACTGTTTATTACTGAGTAATAATAGTATTCTCCAGTATTTTCAACCATCCTACTTTGAATTCAAGTGTTCCTGATAACTGGGATAAGAAGATAAACAGAATGACCACAACCTAGTGTAAAAGGTGACTTTCTTTAAAAGCTGCTGGATCAAAACCATAGACACACAGGAGTTTTCATCCACCAAAGCAATGAGAAGCAGATTCATTACATTTTCCTTGGTATGCACCGGAACACTGGGAATCTAAAGGGAAAACCTTTAAAAATATTTAGAGACATAAGCTTCTTAGAAAGGACCTAAGCTGCTTAGAAAGTTGCATAAAATCAACCCCAAATGTAACTCAATCTGCCCATTTCTCTTTCGGGGAGGTGGGGTGCATTTGATACTGCCTAGGGGTGGACTCACAGAGGCAGTGAGAGCCCGGCATGGGGTGGGGTCTCAGTGCATTTATTGGATTAATGAAATTCATTTTTCAAATCTTAATGACATTTGGTCTCCGACAAGGGTTTCCAGGAGAGTGCTTCTGACACGATCAAGAGCTTTTATATAAAAAAGCAGGGGGTGAAATGGAACAGTATCTTCGTGATGTATAAAAGCTGTTAGGATTTTTCATCGTTACTGTTCATGAAGAAAATACAAGCCTTTACTTTAAAAAAAAAAAAATGCAGGCAATTCGGCAAAGTGTAAAAAGGAACTGCACACACCTGGAAGCCTCGCTTGCCACAATTTTGGATGCAGTGTCTTGAGGACTTCCAGTACGACTGTGTAAACTCGTTACGATTTTACAGAAATAAAATCGTACTACACCTTCAGGTTTGGCAAGTGCTTTTCCATCTGACACCATGCCGTGAATTTTCCCATAAGAATTAGTCATATATTACGTCACTCTTTTACATGATGTATGGCATGCCATCTTACTACTCACAGACAAGAAAAATACATGCCCATTTTCCACCATCATCAATTTACTTGTATAAAGGTTTCCCTGATTCCTAATCTAAATGAGGTCCTTGTTGTTACTTTCTCACATAACACCATTCAGAAAAGCTGTACTTATGGGGGCTAGCAGATGGCAGGATGATTACATGGCTAGACTCCCACATGGCCAACCACGGTTTGAGTCCCTAATGCGGTGGCTTGGAATTCAAGCCAGGCACATGTGCATGTGTGCCCAAGATCCCGGGAGGAGAATGAGAAGGGATTGCAGCATGATCAATCTCCCTGGCAGGTGATTATTTACTTTCCCTATCACTGTCTCTGTCTCTGTCTCTCTCTCTCTGGCAAGTGCATGCACCTTAAGGCAAAAACCTCTAAAAAAAAAAAAAGCTGTATTTATGAAAGTGCTTATTTGCTTAATAGTTCTCTCCCTAATATAAAGTCATGTGATCTCTGTGTCTGTTTTGTTCACTACTGGCTACCTAATAAAACGAAGCACAATTCTGGCATATGGCAGGCACTAAATACATATTTGTTCCAAGTGGATATACTGAGGCCAGCAGATGGCATAGCAGTTACAGCTCTGGACTCCCACATGGCCCACTGCAGTTTGAGTCCCAGACCTGTGTGGCTTGAAAATCACACCAGGCACAGGTGCAGGACCAGCAGATGGTGGAGTGACTATGTCACTGGACTCCCACATGGTTGAGCGCAGTCTCAGCCCTGGACCCAGCGGCTTACACTCATGCCGGGCACGTCTGCATGCATGTCCAAAGTCCCTGGAGGAGAACGTAGGAGAAGGGACTGGGATGTGGACATCCCCTGGGGCATGATTTCTCATTTTCTGTCTCTGGCTTACTTTCTGTCTCTCTGGAGAGCACACACACCCTCTAGCAAAAATCTATTTTAAAAAAAAGAAAGAAAGAAAGAAAGAAAGAAAGAAAGAAAGAAAGAAAGAAAGCAAGCAAACATAATAAAACAAAGAAAATCACACTGGGCGCATGTGTGTGTGTGTGCCCAAGACCGTGGGAAGAGAATGGATTGTGGTGTGACCATCCCCATGGGGGGTGATTTCTCACTTTCCCTCTCACTGTGTGTCTCTCTGTGAGCACACACACCCTAAGGCAAAAAGCTCTTTAAAAAAATGTGGATATATTTTGGGGGCCAGCAAGTGGCCTAGTGGTGCTGAACTCCCACATGGCCAACCACGGTTCGAGTCCCAAACCTGGTAGCCTTAAACTTACACATGGTGCGTGTGCATGTGTGTCCAAAATTCCGAGGGGAGAAAGGAGGATAAGGGATTGCAGTGTGGTCAACCCCTAAGGGGGTGACTTCTTGCTTTATTTTTTTTAATAATTATTTAATTTAATTTATTTATTTATTATTATTCAATTTAACCATAGAGAGACTGAGAAAGAGGGAGAATGAGAAGGCAAGCCACCAGATCCAGGACTCGAACCATGGTTGACCATGAGGAAGTCCAGCACTTTAACCACCAGGCTACCTACCAGCCCTTGGTTTCTTGCTTTCTGTCTCTATGTATCTCTGTCTCTCCAGCAAGCACATGTGCCCTATTGCAAAAATCTCTAAAACAAAATGAAAGTAGATATATTTTTTAAATGTTCCCCAAAAAGTTGTAAGAAAGGAAAAGCTATCTGATCATTAGTGAAAAAGAATATGAGTGTTAAAATCATGGTTGCACCATTTCACCTGCGTCGGATTGACAGAAATGTAAGAGGCGAGCAATACCAAGTATGGAAGAGCTCCTGCATAGCCGGCGCTGACGATGCCTCTGGTGGGAGCGTAACCTGATGCTGCAGAAAACAGCTTAGCATGCCAAGTGAAACTAGCGAGCGTGTTCTCTACAACGTGGCGAGCGACGCCACCCGTAGGCGTGGTTTCCAGCGAGACCCTGGAGCTGGGCACTGGAAGTTATATACCAATCACTTATGGTGGCACTGTGTGGAGGGACACACACAGGAAACAATCCAAATGCCATCCACAGGGGACGGCAGTGCGACACTGAGACCAGGAAAGGGCACACAGCCACAGCGAAGTCTGGGTGAGCTCCCTCCTCCACACAAACGAGGGGAGAACGGGAAAGAGAGAGGAGACAAAAGACTAAGATAACTCAGTCTGTAAAGACACATACTATAAAATATATAAACACTTCCCTTGCAAGTTTTTTGTTTGTTTGTTTGTTTTTTGGAGAGGTTTTTGCTATAAGGCGCGTGGGTGCTCCAGAAAGACAGAGAGAGACAGAGAGATAGAAAGTGAGAAATCGCCCCCTGAGGGGATGGCCATGCCGCAATCCCTTCTCTTCCATTCTCCTCTCAGGATCTTGGGCACGCACGCACACACATGTGCCCGGCATAAGTTTAAGCCACCAGATCTGGGACGCAAACCAAGGTCGACTACGTGGGAGTCCAGCAACATAGCCATTACGCTAATTGCTGGTCCCATCTCTTGCAAGTTTTATGCCATAAAAAGGAACTAAATAACTACTACTCTATTTCAAAATAGCTAGAAGAGAAGATTTTAAATGTCTCATCACAAATAAATAATTGGTGTTTAAGGTGATGGATATGCTGAGTACACTGCTTGAAACGCCTGTGCTGCTGTGAGGGCATATCAGCGGGGTGAGAGCAGGGATGTGGGAGCTGCGCTGCTTTGACGTGTTGAGACTTGGCTCCCGGACTCACTGGCAAATCAGTTCATGTCCTCATGCCTCAGTTTCCTTACCTGAAACTATGACCAGCAGGGGCCAGCGCGCGGCGAGGTGGTTAAGGTGTAGACGCCCACATGGCCAAGCGTGCCTCAATCTCAGACCTAGAGGCTTGCTTTCTCACTTTCCCTCTCTCTGTCTCTCTCTGGTGAGCACACATGCCCTGTACCAAATTAAATAATAACAATAACAATAAATAAAGTTAAATAAATAAGTGATTTTTTTAAAAATCTTACTTAAATAAAAACAAATAAAACAAAAAATCAGGATAGCAACATTGCCTAACTCACGGAGTTGCTTGAAGACCGGCTAGAACACCTGCTCAGTGCCAAAGGACATACCGCCTGGCACACAGGAAGTCCCATAAAGGGCTAATTATGACGGTGATGATGGCATTCCCTTTTCTTCGGACAAATTCAAAGAAATTTCAATTAAATATGGGTTTTATTTTTTAAAAGAAGCATGAGCCTGTTCTTACAAGATTATTTCTATCGATGTACCCACACACCCACCCACCCACCAGTGCAGCCACCCTTCTATATATGAAGACAGAGAGGTCTAGAATTATGTTCACCAAATGTTGCCTTTGATTATTTCTGGGGGATAAACTGTGAATAATTTCCTTCTTGCTTGTTTTTACCTGACAGAATTGCTTACATGTTTTGTAGTGGTCACTTTTTTGTGTGAAAACGAACTAGAGAAAACAAGTTTTACCAGTTTTCCAACAGATATTAAATGCTCTCTTCTCAACACCCTACAAACACTGGCTTTGCTGGGTTTTTTCCTTATTGACATTTAATAAATTTGTAAATGTTCTGTGTTAGCAACAGTTAGTATCTGTCACTTATCTAGCACGTATTTGGCCAGCTCTATCATGTTTATACGAAGTTTTACACTACATGTACTCAAATATA